TCTGGAGTATTGCAAGATATTCCTATCCCAAGAATGTCCTCTAGGTGCTGGGGATGTGGCTCAAGTGGTAGCGCGCTCGCCTGGCATGCGTGGGACCTGGGTTCGATCCTCAGCACCACATACAAACAAATGTTGTGTCCGCCGAAAACTAAAAAATAAATATTAAAATTCTCTCTCTCTCTCTCTTTAAAAAAAAAAAAAAAGAATGTCCTCTAAACCTTCCAATGCTTAGTAATCCATTCTTCTACAGTAGCTAAAGTAATTTTTATAAAAACCTTCTGGTAGTTTTCTAGTTCAAGTCAAATTCAGATTCCTTACTTTGATCAAAGACAATTTGGGGACCTTAAGTTATTCTCCATATGACATGTGTACCAATCTGTCTCAGCTGTACATCACTCATGTTCATTTGTCCTTGAACAGAGCAAACTGTTTTGCACCTCAAGACCTACATATTACTGTTGCACCTGAAAGAATGTTTTCCCCCTGATTGTTATATTGTAAAATTAATAATTCAGTCAATATAGCATTCTAATGAATAACTCTTCATTGGAGTAAGAGGTTGTCCTTAAGGTTTGCACAGAGTTACTGCACAAGCTAAGGGTCACCCTGGCACTGTAATCCACATGTCTGGATTTGTTCAGAACACCATTTACCTGGATGTATGCAGCTGCCTGAAAGGCCTAAATGTGAAATAATAAAGTTAGTTTTGAAATTCACTGCATAAGAAATCTGGATTTTTTAAAAGTCATATACTTTACTGTTTTGCAGCTTGAAATACTTTATATTGCAACAATATTGACCATACCCCAATAAATCTGGGTAATAAATAAATAAATCACTACAGCCCCAATGAAAATTTTAGTAGATTTTGTGTATGTGTATGTGTGTGTGTGGAGTAATTACAAGATGATTTAAATAGAAAGGCAAGATTTGAGAATAGCAAAACAATCTTAAAGTCCAACAAAGGCAGAGGATGCATGCTATTAGCTATCAGGGAGTATTTTAAAGCTTTAGTGTTAATAGCTCAGTATTGGTGAAAGGATAAAGTCAGCAAAGCAACAGAAAGCAAACATAGAAATAGACCTATTCTTTCCTTTGTAACCCATGTGAAATATGACAAAAATGACACTCCTGACAGTGAATAAAGCATGCCATTTTCAGTCAATGCTTCTATTGTCAAAACAAAGATTTTTAAAAAGCCAACTGAAAAGTGCCTGGACTTCAACCTCAGGTGGACTGCAGTTCTAAATGTGTAAAAAAAAATTGCAAAGATTCTCATAAAAAATTTTCCAAAGTCTATGTATGAAGACATGAATTGGTGTGAATATATATGTATACAACCAGAGATATGAAAATTTGTGTTCTATATATGTAATAAGAATTGTAACCCATTCCACTGTCATATATAAATTTTAAAAAAAGAGGAAAAGTGCCTTAGTGACTTGGTATAGTCATAGATTTGTAAAATAGAACTTAAAAGTGGAAATTAAATATTGTATTACACTGAAATTAAACACTTCTCTTCAAAAGAAGCCACGTTTTGACCTATCAAAAGATATCAGAGCATTGAATGAGATCATATCTAATTGTATTAACTATACAAAATTTATAATATGAGCATTATGATATTCATATAGGATATAATGAGTAATATGAATTTAAAATAATCACATACACACACACACACACACACACACACACAGGGCCATGTATACAAAGTGTAGCATATTGAAAAACAGCTTCACAGCAGATCGGGAAGAAGACAGCCTAATGTAAAATGACTAAAATACTTGAATGAAGACCTCAATAAAAGATCATATCTAAGTATTTTAAAAGTAAGAGAAAAATCAATTTTACTAGTGCATATATATTGTCAATTTAAATCAATATGACCAACTACTACATACCCAGCAGAATCAAAGAAACAAAAATATGAAAAAGACTACTAGAGTGCCAATCAACCAAAATTCTCACTCTGGAGTAGTTAGAACTGACAATACCTTGGAACATCATTTAGATACCATACAAAAGCAGAATACATGTACATGTGGTGTATATCCCAGCAATTCCACACTAGGTTAAATACTAAAATCATATACATTTTGGAAACTACCAAAATCAATATCAATAACTGAATGGGGAAAGAAATTTTAGTATATTTATATCATGAGTTATTACACAGAGACTTGAATGATGATTATTTGCCAATAAAAAATAGCATGGATTGATTCTAGAATGGAATCGACTAAATGGAATGGACTAATAGGAAAAGAAGATGCATCAACAGTTTTTATAATACACAAACACAAGCTATAGTGTTAAACATCACATTATTGTTTAGTTTGAGATTAAAGAGGAAAGGGAAAGGAGCTTTAAATGGTAAAATTATTTTTCTTGATGTGATCCTTGAACACAGCATGTTCAATTTTTTTAGTAATTTTTAAGCTCTGTGCTTATGATGACTATACTTTAAATAATAATTTGCTTCTATAAGAATAAAAACATTAAAAGGGAACATTAGCAGACTATGTGCTTTCTGAACTTCTTGCATTGAGCCTATTGTATTTTTGTAAATCTACTATATATGATATCTTTTCTATTTTGTTGTATCTATTCAGTTAATAAAAACTCTTTTAGCCAAGAGGATGAGGCAGAAGAATCCCAAGTTTGATGTCAGCCTAAGCTACTTAGAGAGATACTCAGCAAATTTGGGAGACCCAAACTCATTAAAAAAGAGGCAGGGGTAGTACTGGGATATAGCTCAGTGATAAAAACCCCTGAGTTGTTCAGATGGGGTGGTAGCTCAGTGACAAATTCCCTGAGTTAGTCAATCCCAGTACCAAAACAATAAAAACAAAAGCAAGAAAATCAAGCTATAAAATAGGATGACTCCTGACATAGATAAATACATGCATAAGAAAAAATAATAGTAATTAGTCCACAATGAAAAGGAATTAAATCTTGATATTTAGAAAATGAATAAATCTTAAAACATGATGAATGAAGGATACCATATTTAAAAAAAAATAGTACACATTGAAGTAAGTTCATTTACATGAAGCTCATTATCAGGTAAAAATTTTATGTGGTAAAAACCATCAGAATAGTAGTACACTGAAATTTAGGGAAGATGGGTTGGGTTTACTAGATAGTAACATAAAAGAACGTTTGACAAATGACGATTGAGGTTATGAGGTTATGCATAGCTGTAATGTATTAATAAAACATTTAAAAGTTTATGAATTTTGAAGAGTTTTGCATTACACAGATGTAAGCATCTGTCAGGACTCATCAAATAGAGTATTTGTGTATTTCAACGTATGTAGCTTTATTTAAAGAAAACACTAGAAATATTGAACTTCATGTAATGATATGGAAACCTTATGCAATAGCTATCTATACTGACTTTTTGAAATTTAAAAATATAATGCAGTGTGATGTATAAGATGTGTTATAAAGGAAATAAAATAAAATTTTAATTGTAAAAACCAACTGGTTGGAAAATACGTGTTTATTTGTTGTAAAATTCCTCTCTCTAAAAAACAAATGCCAAATGTCTTCTTTGATATAAGGAGGGCAACTCAAAACAGAGTAGGGAGGAAGAGCATGAGAAGAAGATTACCATTAAACAGGGACGAGAGGTGGGAGAGAAAGGGAGAGAGAAGGGAAATTGCATGGAAATGGAAGGAGATCCTCAATGTTATACAAAATTACACATAAGAGGAGGTGAGGGGAAAGGGGAAAAAAAGAGAGAGAGAAATGAATTACAGTAGATGGGGTAGAGAGAGAAGATGGAAGGGGAGGGAAGGGGAAGGGGGATAGTAGGGGATAGGAAAGGCAGCAAAATACAACAGACACTAGTATGTCAGTATGTATAAATGTGGATGTGTAACCGATGTGATTCTGCAATCTGTATACATGGCAAAAATGGGAGTTCATAATCCACTTGAATCAAATGTATGAAATATGATATGTCAAGAACTTTGTAATGTTTTGAACAACTAATAAAAAAATAAACAAATAAAATTTAAAAATTCCTCTCTCTATGGTTGAAAAATTCCATACTGAAATGTTAAAAATGTATTCAATAGAAAGATTTTAAGATTAAAATGGCTAATAATTTAGATTCCCTGCACTCTGTAGAGTGCTCATTTTTGGTTCTCAGGTTTGATACACACATATGTATCAGGCACACATGTGTATTCAGGCATGCAGATATATATATATATATATATATATATATATATATATATATATATATATATACACACACACACACACACACACACGTTTTTATGTGCTTTCTGAACTTTCTACATCAAACATTTTGAGATTAGATACAAATTTTAAAAGACATGATATATGCATAATAAGTATTAAATCACAGCAAAAAGTATTTTCTACAATATTCAGCTAAATTTTCTTAGAATTTTTATTCCATTTAAATAAAGGAAGCTTCACAAAGATCTCAAAATTCTAACATGTAGTCATGTTTTAATTAAAATTTAGAAGCATAAATTTAGTCTTTAATAGTATGTATTGCATAGAACATGGTCTATACAAAATAAAATCTTGTAATCTTTATGTAGTCACTTGATACACTTATAGGTGGTGCCACAATTTTATGTTATTAATAATTCCTATTACTTTTGATGCCTTTATTTTATTCAACATGAACTGAAAATGGGAGAAATCATAAACAAATACCTTTGTACGACTATCTTTATATCCATCCATTTATCATCATTAAATCATGACAATGATTCTTTTAATTGAGGATCCCATTTTGAGATTATTTTTTGAATAGAGGGTTCTCAAAGCCATTTGGCTCTTCAGGGTGTTATACTGAAGGCAATATAGACTTAATTCATAGACCAGGCAGTGAAGTGCTCAGTCTTTACAGTTAATTTCCCCTTGGAAATCCAAGTCCCCAGCTAAAGCACTCAGGTTTAACTGTGGTATTTGGTTAAAGTGACATGGTACAGATGCCTTATACTCACAGATATGCAGCTTTCCCTTCTTCCAGTTCTTTACTTTTGCCACTGGAGCCACTTTTCTTTCCACACATTCTCCTGGTGATGCACATCAGTAACCCACATTGTCGAATAAAGAAGCAGCTGACATCTGTTACCACAAGTATTAGCAAAAGTGCAGCAACTCCCAGGCCAATGACTGCTCCAAGTCCAAGACCATTAAAAAGTGTGTCTTAAAAATAAAGAAAACAATTTCATTAAATATTCTAATTAAAAAGCCTAAACAACCAGTTTAAAAATTAATCCTAACAAGGTACATATTCAAATAAAAAGGAAAAAAAGTCATAGTAACTGGCAGACTTCAACTTCATGATTGTTAGGACCTATTATCTGGCTTTCAAACCATATTTTAAGCATGACAAGTTAATGACTAAAATTTTTTCAAACTTTCTTTTCTTAAAAAAATTCTAAGTAACTCTTTTCAATATACTTCTAGATTCCCTGTGGGGAAGATTATGAATATTATCATATTCCAAACTGAAATTTATCAGAAAGTCAATGTCATTATAGATCATTATGATGTTAAAAGGAAAATATAGTCAAAGATCCTGTAAGAGAGATGTTACATAAATGTTCTTTATGGAAATATTTTAGTTTTAAGACTTAAACTTACAAAGGGATGGCTCTAAGCACTTTGACAGATAATACATTTTAAAATACTGATGAATATTTTAAAAATTATCATTTTAGAATAAATGGTTTGCTTGTATTTTTCAGTAAGTATTTTAACAAACAGATTCTATTAGAGGCTATTTTTACCAAGTCATGGTACTGAAGACCATGAAAGGTCATATCATGAAAACTCATAGAGAAGGAGTGTCAATTTTCCAAAACATATGGCTGCAGGAAATTCCCAATGATATGCATAAAATATTCACAAACAAGAGAACTGGGAATAGAAAGGAATATGCTGATTGACAAAATGGAAATTATAAGGAGGAAGCTAGTAGTAAAATAAATCATTACATGTCTGTACTTGAACACAAGGGAGGACCACACAACTACAACAATATAAACACTTGATAGTGTGTTATCTAAAAAAAGATGATAATGTAAGATAATTTTATAGACACTCAAAATTATTAACATATATATGTTAAAACATTTATTTATACATTATAAAATTGTGATTATTCCTTTGGGTAATGAAATATATTCATTATCAACCAAGATAATGGCATGCTCTTTTTATCAGATATGGAACAGAAATGACAGATACGGGTAGATATATAAATTTGGGTTTTAAGAAAATGACTCATAAATATATATATAACAACATTTTTCTGTCTTATTTTTAAATTTAGATTGCTTATTTTAATAATGACTAGAGAAACAGTGACTCGAAATCAGAAGAAATGTTTCTATCCTTAGTCTACCATTTGCAGATCTACTTTGAATACATTTTTCTTGCAGAAGGAGTTTCATATCCACATTTATTTTACTTTTCCTAGGAAACAAATATAACTCATTAATACTTTAAACACTCTTGGAGTTAAAAAATAATATTGCTGTTTTTGAATTGCTGGCCTGGCTTATTATTCACTTCCAAATAGAAATGATTGTCTTATGAATCTATTGTTTAATAATGAATATAATTCAGCTAAGAAATATGGTTGATTACATGTAAAGCTAAAATATTTTCAAAATATTTTAGATTTGGCTGGTTAGTTTTCAAATGATAAATATTTTATTTGTGACCTTTTAAGAATTAAATATATTGATCTGCTTCATTTCTATCTTTAGAAAACTGACTTTGTAAAGCATCTTATAGTAAAGGAATATTGATGCTAAAAAAAATCTTTTATTCTTTTCTAGAGAAACATAAAATTTTTTAAATTGGCAATAAAATTTTGAAGGTTATTTGAATTTTATATTTATGTAAAAGTATATATATCTGTGCCATTGCAGAGGATAGGGGTAAGCATCCAATAAATCTAAGCATCAAATCAGTCTCTCTCTCTCTCTCTCTCTCTCTCTCTATATATATATATATATATATATATATATATATATATATATATATAATCTTTAAAAAATATGTCTTTCATTCTTAAAATTCATATGAAAGAATAGCTAAAGCAATTCTGAACAAGAAAAGAGAAAAAGGAGGCATCACAAATCCTCACTCAAATTATATTACAGAACTGTAGTAACAAAAACAGCATGATATTGGCATCAAAATAGACATGAAGATCAATGAAAAAGAATGGAAGACACAGAGACAAACTCTGGAAACTATTGAAAACAGACAGCATTTTTAATAAATCGTGAAGGAAAAACTGGATATCCACATGTACTAATGAATTTTGATCATTATTTTCTACCTCTCCCCAAAGTCTAATCAAAAGGGATCAAAGATGTAGAAATAAAATGAGAATCTTTGAAACTGCTGGCAGAACACATAGGGTCAACTCTCCATCATATAGGTATATTCACTGACTTCCTTAACAAGACCCCCTAAGCTCAAGAAATAAAATAAAGAATCAATAAGTAGAATGGCATCAAAATATAAAGTTTCTGCACTGCAAAGGAAACAATTAAAAGAGTGAACACAGGACTTTTGGAATGGGAGAAAATCTTTGTCATCTACTCCTCTGACAGGAGATTTATATTCAAATATAAAAAGAATGTAAAAAAAAACTCACTGTCAAAAAATAGTACAATTTAATAAATGGGCAAAATAACGAACAGAATCTTCTCAAAAGAAGAAACAGAAATGACCAAGAAAGATATGAAAAAATGATCAGCATCTCTAGCAATTAGGAAAAGGAAAACCAAAACTGCATTAAGATTTCATCTCACTCCATTCAGAATGGCAATTTTCAAGAACAATAAAAATAATAAATGCTGGCTAGAATGTGGTGAAAAAGCTACACTCTTTCATTGTTGAGTGGACTGAAAGTTAGTGCAACAACTCTAGAAAGCAGTGTAGATAGTCCTCAGAAAACTAGGAATGGAACTACCATATGAATAATGTATCCCACTCTCAGATATTTATCTAAAAGATCTAAAATCAGGTTACTGTGGCAATGTAGCCACTTCAATGTACAATTAACAATAGCCAAATTATGGAATCAACCAGATACCTGTGAATAGATGAATGAATTAAGAGAACATGGTATATATACACAATGGAGTTTTACTCAGCCATAAAGAATGAAAGTATAATATTTGCTGGTAAATGGATAGAACTGAAGCATATAACGCTAAATGAAATAATGCCTTTGTGGGTAAATGGAGAAAAATCATCCTAAGTACAATAAGCCAGACTCAGAAAATTAAGGGTTGAGTGTTTTCTCTTATACGTGAAAGCTAGAACAAAAGAAAATCAATGGAGTAGAAATAAGATAATGATAGGGAGGGAAGAAGAAAGGAGAAGAAGAAGAAATATGGAATGAATTTAACAAAATTATGTTCCTATATAAAGGTACCAAAGAAAATTTTACATTTATATAAGTGTAGAAAAAAAAAGAAGTTTAGTAAAGTAGATGAGGGAGAATAGGGGGAGGGAGGAGAGAGGAAATGTGTAGGGGGAATTTAATTGAAATGACTTTCACAAAATGAACCCAAAATACTGTTTAATTATAATGCTCTAATAAAGAAAAAATATAAAAAGTAGTTTTTATATTTAAAAAATAGCTTAAAAATATACTCAAATGTTTATATTTGTCCTATCCTATAAGGTAGACTATAATATTTATAAAAGCTAAATTTTTATTTTTTTCTCCACAAATTTACTGTTATGAAAATTTTATTTAAAATATTGATTTTTCAAAAGTATAGCCACCTATAAAATGATAGTAGTATAATGTGAGGACTAGCAGTGACTTTTTTTTTAGAGACAAATTTTCTTCATTTGTAATTTAATTGTGCCTTAATTGTGGCTTAAATGTTCAATAAATTGGAATTGAGTATAAGTAAACATTAAGTACTTTAAAATTACTTTAAATTAATTTTTTTTCTTTTTCAGGTTTTTCAGAATATTTACAAAAGTTTTTTATACCATAATTTGTATGACACACTATTACCTAAAAAATAACAGTATTATCAGGTCTTCTTTACAGATGGGAACACTGAGGTCCAGAAATGTCAGTACCCTAAATCATATAATAAACCTTAAAATTGGAACTGTTGAAATGAAAGACTATTTAACTCCAGGTCCTATATTTTTATGTATCTGTTGTAGTCAATATTTTATATTGGATACTCACCATGAAATAGTAAAATATAGGAATATATTTTGGTAGATATGGTGAAATTTGTAATATTATTATACAATTTGTATCCATTCACCTTTTTTGTTAATCAAATAATAATTAACAACCATTTAATGAGATACCAGAATATCAATTATATAACTTGTGTTTCTGCTTCCAGCTTTTTGATATCATTTAAAACCGTTCTCATGAAACATGGACTTTACACAGGAATTGAATAAAAATAAATAATTTAGGAATCAAACAGCTTAGATATCTATCTTTGCCTCATATTTTAGTATTGAAATAAAAAATGACGAAGGGAAACGAAGAGAAGGGAGAAAGGGTAGGATTGGGAAGACAATGGAATGAATCTGACCTAACTTTCCTATGTACATATATGAATACTCTCCAGTGAGTCTCAACATCATCTACATCCACAAGACTGGGCTCCTAATTAGAATGAGATATTCCCCATGTTTGTATAAATATGCCAAAATAGAATCCACTGTCATTTATAACTAAAAAGAATAAATAAAAATATATAAAGAGAGCAAACATGAGGATCAGTCTGAGTTTATTTAACTTTTTGCTCACTGCATCATTCAAACTTCATTTCATTTGGCAATTAACTACCTCAATTGATCTAGTTTCTCAGATCTTTATGTCATTGTACTCTAGTTTCTATTTTTAAAAAGTATTAAATTCAGAAAACTAAGTTAATCAAATTTGTTAAATATATACATTTTCTTTTTTCTGTTATAAAATTCTCTACTGAAATGCTGAATGCATTTTAATGAAATTAATTGTATTTGACCATACCTGTATGACCATTTAGTAATAAAGTCATTAAACTCAGCCTTAACTAGGTGCCATGGTACTTGCCTATAATCCAAATCACTCAGGAGGCTGAGGCAGGAGGATTGAAAGTTCAAGGCCAGTCTCAGCATTTTAGGAGGGCTCTAAGCAACTTAGT